AGGTGTATTATGGTCTTATTTTTATGATCTAAACCGTTTATATTGTAGGGTTTGTTGAGCATTTCATGCCTACCACAAATCATATTAATCGGATATCAATAACTATATGATCAAATCGCATATTGTTTATATTATTTCTCAAAAGAAAAACTTATTATTTATTTTTTTGGTTATCAATCATATAGTTGTTGATATCCGATTAATATGATTTTTGGTAGACATGAAGTACTCAACAAACCCTACAAAATAAACGGTTTGAATCATAAAAATAAGGCAATAATACACCTCAAATAAAAGCACCACAGTCACTGCCGTGCTTTGAGCACAGCAGTGATTCCTTTTCCTAAAAAAACCTTGGGTATTCTTAATTTGAGATTTGATTGTATTTCCTATTTTATTTATTTATTTTTATTTTTTTTCAACTATTTGTTGAGTCTTTATTATCAATATTCATTATAAATCAACGAGTCTAAAGAAGGATTTTGTTGTATTCATTCTTAAATCAATAGATTTTAAGTTCATTACTACCCAACCATTGTTGAGCCTTTATTCTCAGTATTCATTGTGAATCAACGAGTCTAAATATTTCTTCCAGTATTCATTCTTAAATCAACCAATTCTAAATTCATTACTACCAATCATTGTTGAACTTTTATTCTCGATATTCATTATAAACCAATGAGTCTAGAGAAAGATTTTGCTTTCGGTATTCATTCTTGAATCAGTGAATTTTAAATTCATTACTACCCAACTATTGTTGAGCATTTATTCTCAGTATTCATTGTGAATTAACGATTCTAAAGAATGATCTTATTTTTGGTAGTCATTCTATATTCCTCATCAATTTTTTTGGTTATTGTTGAGCCTTTTATTCTCGGTATTCATTGTGAATTAACAAGTTGAGAGAATAATCCTTCTTTCGGTATTTATTTTTGAATCAATGAATTCTAAGTTCATGAATATTTCCTCCATAATTTTTTTTTTTTTTTAATAACTTGGACTCCCACTGTCCACTAGTAAGGGGTTCTTTGATAACTTAGAATCTCATTGTCTATTAGCGAAAGCTCCATACAGAGTGATTCCAAGAAGTTGTTTTCAGTTTGGAGGTTTCGAACCTAAGACCATTCCTGTTGTTTACTCTTTTGCTAGGCTTTAACAGGTAACTAATTTAGCGGTACCTAAGAAATAATATGTGAAAAAATTTGTAAAAACATTAAGTAAAAACAAAAACAAAACAAAATAAAATAAAATATTTTGGTTTTTTTTTATTATATATTTTTCCAAATTTCTTCACAAATTATTTTTTAGTTATTTCTAAATTAGGTGTATCTAAAAATGAAAAACTTTGACCAAAATAGAAAAAGAAAAATTCATTGCAAAACCAAAAAACAGGAAACCAAATTACTAAACAGGATTTGGTGAGTAATTTATTCTCAATGAGCATTGCTATACAAGTCCAATAAACTCAATTTTCAAGTCTAATGATTTGACAATCATTTAGGATATCTATGATAACACTCTCTCATATCTTCTCAATTATCAACCAATCATATTACTTACACATTATTAAGTTTAGAAAATGAATTTCAAAAATTAGTTTGTATATCATTTTCCTTCCAATTTATAAAGTGAAAATGTTTGAGTATTCCATTTTTCAAGTTCTCCCCGTTCCTTAATATTAATTCTAGGGAAATATTATGGTACATATCACTGCACCTCATAATTAAAGAAAAAAATGACATAACTTTATACTTTTTGAGTCATAATTAAAATAAAATAAAAAAGTTAGAACCAAATATCACATAATATTGTCATAACTAAAAAAGAAAATTAGTCATAACTAAAAAAAGAAATAATAATATAACTAAGGGTGCATATAATAAATTCTTTTTAAGGGGTGTATATAGTAAAATTTCTCTTAATTCTAACCCTTTTTTTTTTTTTTTCATCCACAAAGACTGTAATGGAGACTAGAAATAATTTTGAGGATACAGAAATTACTTGCCTTTAGACTGCAAATCTGTGACAAATGAGAAATTCTAATTTCAAGAGTGTATTATATGCATATTTAGTTATGATATTATTTCTTTAATTATGATTTTTATTTAATTATGACATTATTTTAGTTATAACTCATGAATTCTTTAGTTATACCTCATGTTGTGTTTAGTTATAATAATTTTTATTATTATTTATGACTCAGAAAGTATAAAATTATACTATTTTATTTTTTTGTTACGACCAATTTTTTCTTTAATTATGACATTATTTTAGTTATGACTCATAAATTTTTAGTTATGTCTCATATTGTGTTTAGTTATGACACTTTTTATTTATTTATTTATGACTCAAAAATATAAAATTATACTATTTTAGTTTTGAAAGATATGTACCATAGTCCATCACAAATGCACCTATAGTTCTTATTGTTTGCCAGAAAGTACTTTAATAAAATCTTGGAAATTTTATTTTCAACTCCCTTATCATAAGTGTTTAGTAGTTTAAGGATATAAGAAAAAGCTTTTTAGCTCAAGTCCTCTAAGACTTCTAACATCACTTTTGGACCAAAGTATCCCACCACTAATAGTTTGTTATGGTTTCTTTGGAATGATTTAAAAATTTTAAAATATAATAACTTTTTATTTACTTATTTGTTTTTCATAAAATTTATATTTTTAGAATCGTCTCATTAAAATCTATTAAATAAGATCCATGATGAATATGAAATTCAAAAAATAAAATAAAATTTCAGTGACCCATGTCAAACTTTTTTTTTTACTAAAATCAGTTAAATATTATTGTAATTGACATTAGGTTTCATTGACAAAATTGCTCAGAGAGAATTGCTTATTTTCTATCTGAGAAATTTCCATATTGCATATTTTCTCGCAGAAAAATTTCTTAAATTGGACAATTGAGAAGTTAGTAAAAAAAAATTTGACTTTTGTAGTGAAAATTTATTTATTTTTATTTTCAAAATTTCATATTCATCATTGATCTTATTTGATCGATTTCAACGAGACGATTTCAAAAATATAAATTTTACAAAATATGGAGTTTCAAATCAAAATTTATTGAAACACATTTCAAAATACAATTTCTCTACAGTGAATAGAGAAGGTGTTGAAATTTCATGGTATCAATTGTTAAAAGGGCATTCTTGACATTTATGTTGAAATTTGTCCTTATTTTCATGGAATTTCAAATCTTAGGGATTTTAACTTCCAAATAAATTATGGTTATCCTTAAACTCTTACACAAATATTTAGAGGGATCCCTCCTAATTTTTCCTAAAATCTTTTAATCAATGAAAAAAATTTAAAAGTTTTAACACGAGAATATATTATTTTTAAGTTCCAATTAGACGAAAAAAAAAATAATGAATGGATGGAGGAGTATCTAGTTCTTAATTGATGTTGTTAATAGTATTAAATTAACAAAATGAGAAAAATTAAATGACAAAATTGATACAATTAAACATAGAAGGATTAAATTGACACAAGAAGTAAATTATAGAAATCACAGGTATAATTTGCCTTAATTTAAGATAAATTATACCAACAATCCTTAAATTGTCCCTCTTGTATGAGGCCCAATCAATTATTATGTCTTTGTATGAGCTTATTTCTCTAAATGCTACTCTACTCATTACTAATTAGTTTTAGATGGGATGTGTCAAGTAAATCTAACAACATAGATGTCATTAATATACAAAATTACGTTTTTATAAATTAACTTGAGTACAAAAAAACAAGTCTACCGATATATATTTTTAATATTATTTCTTATTTCTTATGCCGGTAGAAATTAATGTTGTAATTCATGCTTTCCTTTTAATTTTTTCTTTTGTGGATAATGTGGATAATGCTATGATATACACCCCTTAAAAGGTGTGTATTATATGCACCATTGTTATGAAAATTTTAATATATGTTACATATTTTTTGTGTCAAAAGTTACATATTTTTTTAGGTAAAATTATGATAATTTGTGATTCAAAAATGAAGTTAGGTATTTTGTTGTAATGTTAGGCATTTTTGTAATATAGTTACATTTTTTTTTTTTTTGTTAAAAAATATTTAGATAAATAAATGTGTAGCATTACCACAAAAATACATAATATTACCACAAAATGCGTAACTTCATTTATGAACCACAAATTTATATAACCCTACAAAAAAAAATTACATAATATTTATTACAAAAAAATGTAATATGCTCCACAAAAATACATAACAGGTATGGAGTTTCTTTTATTTTTGAGCAAATTACAAACATACCCTTGAGGCTCACTTAAAAAAATAAATTACTGCTTGTGATTCTGGAAATTACCATTTGACGGTTCTAATTTCATAACAAATTTTCAATTTTATTAAAAAATAAAAAGCTCACCAAGCTGCTTAGTCACCAATTGGTCTCTGTCGCATCCGGGGAACCGCATCAAGAATGTAGCTAAAAGCAATTCAAAACGGTATAAAGGTGCTAGTTTTAATTTTTAAAGGTTGTTTTAATTTTTAAAAGTCATAAAAAGTGAACCAATAAAATGTAAACATTAAATATCTCTAAGACAAAGTGATGTACACCATATGATACATCACTAGGAACTCTCAGGTCAAATGCCAATCCATTAGGTGGAATAAAAGGTCACATAGGTGTCACAAATAATAACAAAAAGGCATAGTGATTTATATATTAAAAAATTCCATCATATCAAAGCTTGAAAATTTTGGTATATACAATTTTTGTTAGGTAAAATATTATAACCGATCTGCATTAAATGCTGGTCCCAAACCACTATGCTTCTGTCACATGTAGATCAATTAACACGCTTAAACTTAATTGAAGATATGGCTTCAAATCAAACTAATTGACGGATATGGATCAATGCACCCAACCCCAAGTAACCGGGACAAAGGCTTGTCATATGAACGTTAAGAAATATTCAATCTTATGTCAAACAAAATTCCAAGCTATAGATAAAATGAAAGTGATATGAAAGGTGTCTAGCAAAGAGCGAACATCATATTATTCTCTCTAAAACATCGAAAGGATTTCAGTTATTAGCATAACTTTGTTCAAAAACAACTTAGACAGACCTTGAATTCCCACCACCAGCAGTTACTGCGGCTGTCAATGGACGCATTGCTGTTCCTGCATTACCCAGGAAAACGCTCAATAATTAGTTAGTGACAAATCACTTTAAGGGGACATAAAGAAACAAAAAAATAATAATGCACTTTCTATTGCTTGATAAAATCAAATAAAAGAAGCGGGGTGGGGGAAAGGAAAGAAAACAAAGAAATTCCTCTAAAATCAAAAAATTATGAATTTAGAAAATAATCATATAAACAGAACTCCAACCATCATCAAGAACATATTGAATAAAAACAAAAATAATATTTTTTATTTATATTTTTAGGCCCTTTAATCTATAAGAACCTCAAAAGTAAAAAAAAAAAAAAAAAAAAAGCACTGAAGAAAAAAAAATAACTGGGAAAAAAAAAAAAAAAAAAAAAAAAAAAAGAGAGAAGAAGAATAAATTGGGTTAAAAGTTGTTGCCAAACACGAGACTTGTTAACTAATTCTCACAAATGCTAAGAATCATAGTGTGTCAGCTTCAGACAAACGTACTGCAGTTTAAATAAATCTTAGCATTTAAGCTTTACCCAGCTTCAATTGGCCCATCTTGGTATGCTTGCTCGTCTCTCTACCTAGTAGCCAAGAAATTTTATGAATCAATTCCGGCCAGATAAAGCTTAACAGTGATACGTTACACAGCATAAATTGGCCAAGCATTCAGTTCTCTGTCCACCTTTTCCGATACCTAGGCAATTTTTTCCGAAGTGAGCATTAACAAATTTTTAATTTATGGTTCTCCAAATACATTAATATGTTCACAGTTACATTCTATGAATTCTTCAAGTTCCTTTGGAAATAAATATAGTCTACCTTTGACGCACTTTTAGGAGTAAAACAAACCATTCCAATGCTATCATTTAACGTTTTGTTTTGATATTCTCTTCCTAAGATTTATTTACCTCCTGTAAAAACAATTAGGTGTCAGTCCCTGTGGTGCTGAAAATTGACAAAGCTTTCGCTATCAGCCTCTAAAGACACCAATAACATGTAAAAACTTTTGTATCTGGGAATTATAAGATGAAACTTTTCAAGTTCCAAAACATTTGACATGTGATTTACTTCCATGAGCTCCATATCATTTTAAAAGAATAAACTGAAAATGCAAGGCTTCGTGTAGGCCTCCTACTATGAAGTGCAAGTCTTGTCAATGCATCATTTACTTCCATCAAATGCATGCACTCCAAGTAATATTAAAAAACACCAAACTGACAGTGCAAGGCATGCAATTATGGAAAACAGACTAAATCACAGACTTTCAAAGCTTCAAGTTTTATGTAAATCAAAAACACAATAAGACCATTAAAATTCCACGGGACACCCAAAAGCAGATTAGATTAATACCTAAACTCAATCATCCTCATCCAAATGTGCATGGTCATCGCTTTTGAGTTACACAAAAACACAATTTTCAACCATTTGTGAAACTTCCATAACTAACATTATGTTCTTTCTACATACATACATGATACATTCAGTAATCTCAAAACCAAATATGCTGCATCTCAAATTTAAATTCTACCAGCACCAAATTTCAATTACACTCCGTTCTGATCACAGGCTGAGAAAAAAAAATGAAATGATTTTCATCACTTCAAACCCAACCCATACCCAATCCATGTTTCATAAAAAGTCAAAAAATACACTTATTTAGATCATCCAAACAAGTGTTAAATCACACCACATTTGGTAAAGATGAAAAGAGAGTTCTCTTACCCTTTCTAACCATTTCTTATGGTTTCTCACCTAGCTTATAAACCAAACATGATTAAATAGTTCTCTTTCTCTTCATTTCTTATCATTTCTCGCCAAATCACTCAATTAATTATATTCATCAAATAAAGAAATTATAGAATTTAGACAAAAACCCAAAACCCCAAATGAGCTATTCAATTTTATTTCAAAACCTAAACTACAATCATAATTCATGAACACCAACAAATAGAAATTGAAAATTTTATGCACCTCAGAAAGGGCAGCAAGAAGGAGAATCCGATTCAACAGTGATTTCGAGCCCGGCAATTTGACGATGCCGGAGATCTCTTTGATGGGTTGCAACACGATCTCGGTGACATTGAGGGTTTCTCGGCGATGGCAACTGAAGCTGAAACCCTAAGTGGAGCTGAATAGTTCTTTACAGCCCTTTCATAGCTCAAACACAGTGAATTCTCTGAACCCTTCTTTAGCTTTGATCCAAAAAGTAGAGAACCAGAAAAGGTTTGTGATTATTATGGGTTTTGGGTAAAGTGGGGTTGCAATGGGAGCCATAGATTCCACGGGAAAGTTTGCTAACTTGCGCCATTTCTTCCTCTCTCTTTTTTTCCCTCTTTCTCTGTTTCTCTCTCTAGATTGATGTGTTAGAAATGGGAAGAAGAGGAGGTGGGTGGCAATGGAAGGTGAGAATTTGAGAGTTTTGGGAGTTTCTAAGAGAGAGGCGTGTTGAATTGTTCAGCGTTTACCTACCAAAGAAACCGAACCCAGTTGGGGGTTGGAGGAGATGCGCACGTTAACCATTGGCCCCGTTTGGTGTAGCTGTTAAAACAACTTATAAATTATAGTTTAACAGATTATAGATTATGACTTTAATCAGAAGTTGTTAATTTGTTTGGTTTAGCTGTTGGATTATAAATTTAAGTTGCTGAGTGGTGTTTGTTAAATAAGCTGTGAAATAGTTTTTTCAATTAATTTTTACTTTTTGTTTGTCTACATTTTTCATAAAAAATAATAATAATAATCTATAGTCCATTTAGGTCATTTTCTATTTTTAAAAAAATAAAAAATAAAAAAATTTAAGAGTATAACCATAAATTAACATGTCCACAGCAGAAACTGATAATCAGAAGTAAGGGGTGAGCAGCTTCTCAGAATCAGCTTTTTTGAGTTAAAATAAGTTGTTAGATTCATAAGCTGTTTGAAATAAGTTTAACCAAACAGTTCAAAATAACTTTTTCAAAGCTAAAAGCCATAAGTTAGCTCCGAAAAACTGAAATAAACACTCCCATTGAATCCTCCCGTCAAGAACTTCAAGGTAAGCATTCATCAAACGAACTAATTTATAAATGCATTCATCAAACGCATAGCCTCTGTTTGGGAAGAGGTTTTTTGGCTTTTTTTTCTCGTTAAAACAGTCACAAAAGATAAAATAGATTATTTTAGTTATAATAAATAAAACATCACATCCAACATATAATCATTACACTATTCTCTAATAAAAAAAGTTAAAAAAATCAAAAAGTCAAAAAGCCCTTCCAAACTAAGCTTTTTAACCCAAGCTAAAATAGTCAAAATAGCCAAAAAGTCAACCCACTTCCCAAACCAACCCTATATTATGAGTTTTTTTTTTTAATATTCTTTTTCCAAAAATATATTTACAAAGAAATTTAAAAAATAATAATAATGGATGAATGCTTATATTAAAAAAAGTAAATAATAATAATAATAATAATAATGAAATTGTAAATATATAAAATGTTGAAGGGTATTTTCATCTCAAAAATGACAAAAGTTTTGTTTAACTCACGGTACAACAATGGAAGAGGTTAAAGTGGAACACGCCAATAGTTTAGGTGGTCCATTTTATAGTTTAGGAGATCAAAGTGAAACACATTAATAGGTTAGAGAATCTATTTGTACATTTTTATAATTTAGAGGGTCAAAACGATATTCTCAATAATTTAGAGGATCTCCATATAAATAACTTGATATTTTTTGAAGTATGTGAATATCAATTTGTCTATCTCATTTATGAACTCATAAGTTTTGATCATCTCAATCATACAAATTGTATAAATGGATCATTTGGAGGGATGAAACTGATGTATTTTGTAATTGAATTTGTCAAAATATATAAATTCATAAGCAAGATAATATTTACTAATAATTAAAAAATCTTGTTGTAATTAATTTAATTTAAAAACACAATCTCTTCAGACTCCCACACTCTATCACTTGGCGCTATGAATCCTCCATCGCCATTGAATTCCTTCCTTTAATCTCCCCACCACTCGTTCCTTTTTTCACCATCCACCACTAATATCCCTAACCCCTCACCCACTTTCCCTATCACTTTTTTCCATTGTCACTATCACGTCTCCAAATAAATGAAGTAGTAATAATTCTAATTAATCAACTCAATCAAAACAATCTCAATTCAATCAGCCAAATCTCTATTTTTTTTATATTTCATATCATGTGAGAGATAGTCCACGTACAATACATATTTAATCTCCTTAAAGTTTGAATCCATAGCATGCGTGACAATTAGTATAAGAACTAACACAAGAGAATGCCCTATGGGCTATAAATTCCAAGGATTAGACTCGGTTACACAAAAGATGGTTATGAAACTCATACATATAAAGTCCTAGACTTGCCAAAAATAACAACAAAATATTAGAGAAAGAGCTTTGTGCTTTCAAAAGATTTCACACGCCTCTAGCTAGACGGGATCACCACATCATTTCTTGCACAAATCCACTAGAGGTGAGTACAAAACCTAGTAAGAATATCTTAATAAAGTATATATGTTTAAGCAATATTATATATGAATGCAATGTCATGCCAAGCTCCAATTCACAAGTTTTATTCTTTTGAAATCACATGCAATGTTCTTTTCAAAAAGCTCTTTATCTCAATGAATTTCAAATATAACATATATGGTGGTAAATACGACTCAAGTAATCCCTAGGCTTAAGCACTACTAATTCTCACTTTACTGGCTCCTAACCGGAAAACACGTGGTACTTACTCTGTGCGTGTTTTCGGTCTTTTACCCTAGACACTCGGGCCAACTTAAACAATACGAAACTACATCCCTAATCTGGACTTATCAGCGCATTTACCCTTAAACGTTTCAAGATCAACAATTGTTTTCTCAAAGTAATAAATCAATTTCCAAAACATAGCCATAACAAACTATATTCGAAGACTATGCAGATGAATGAAATGAAATGCAATTATATAGTTCCGTTGTACAATTTCCACAATTCTCAACATTTGCCCCATGTGAAATGCAATATTCAATATTTCTCAAATAATATCCAAAATCGACATCCATGTGACATATGATACTATTCCATATTCACAAATTATATAACCATCAATTTCCATGGTCCAAGTATCCTCAACATAATATCCATGGCAAAATTTCCAACAAAAATCTAGCCATTTCACAGATGATTCAATAAGATGACAACACATGATTTTTCCTCATTTATTTCAATAAAATCTCATGATCTCAAGAATTTTCTTCAATGATTTCAACTTTTTCCCATATCTCAAAATATAGGGTTTCCACCTAAAATGAATCTCTTTCATTTTCGAAGGATATTTTGTCAATAGACTTATAAGAGTCACACATTTTATAATTTAAAATCAATTTCATGAGAGTGATGACGAATTACCAATTTTAAAACACATTCAAAACCACTCTCAACTCCAAACTCAAAATCTAGTTGTCTCATCAAAGAACATAGCTAAGACATTACAAAACCATATATATAACTCAAAGAAACTTCATACCTCAAGATTATAGAAAAAAGATGAGAAAATCTCCAAAACTAACGGTGTTGAAAACCGATCTCCACCGTACACTTTGTAGCTCGTGATGGTCTTTCCAAATTTAATGAAGATACAAGGGTTGAATCTTCAATGGATTTGGAGAAATCAAGAAATTTATGAGGGTTTGGGTGTTTCTAAAGAGAGATAAGAGAGATGAGAGAGAAGTGAAATGTAGAGAGAGTGTAAGAAGTGGAAAGTGAAAGAAAACAGGTTTAAAGTGAGTAGGCACATTTTACAAAACTGACTCCGGACAAACCACTCGAGCGATAGATCCTGCGCTCGAGCAATGAATTCAAACTCCCATAAAAATGTTCCTTTGCAAACAAACTGCTCGAGCTGTGAAACCTTCACTCGAGCAGTGAACGCACACTGCCAATATTTAAGACTTCTAAACAAAGAAGTGGGTGGACAGGTTTACCACTCGAGCGACAAAATGATTGCTCAAGCGAACTCCCTTTTCAATAGAGGCAAAAAAAAAGGACCTTAGAGCATACCCACCATTCTCAGACTCACTCCAACACCCAAAGACACAAGTTAACACCTCGAAAACACATATAGGATGAAACAAATAATCATAAGGAGGAGAATAGATCACAACACTAGACTCGTAAAACTTAAAGCAACAAAGACACCAAAACTAAAGAGATTTTGAATAAATAAACTCAAATTGCCTTAAAAAGGCTTGGGACATCACAGTCTCCATCTTCTGCCGCATCCCTAGCTCTTCCATTAGCTTTCTCTACTACTATCCTTTCATTCTCTCTTGCCATCCTAGTCACTCTCATTGCTATGTTGTAACTCATGCCCTCTCATCTCCATCATAGCAACTTAGGTACCCTTAGGCCTCATTTGCAAACAGGTTATTTTAGTAATTTTTTGGCTTTTTACGAAAAGATATGCAAAAAAATAGAGAGATTGATATGACAACTTATAGTAACTTTTTGATATTTTGGCTAAAGTGGTTACTCCCCAAACGAGGCCTTAATCTTTATTTGTTAGGCGCAGGTAAAATTTATAAATGGTATAAATGACCTTTATCACAAACCTCTCCACGTCTCTAATCGCCACTGCCACCTCCATCCTCATCCCTTCATTGCCTCTCTAGTCATCTATCCATCATTCCTTTGGTTAACATTCCCACCTTTTTTGGAAAACCCTAAACCTACATTAACCTTTCTCGAACCTCTATCAACATCCTTTAGATTGAATGGAAAAGAGAAAGGAAAGAAGAATAGAAGAGAGAGAGAGTGGGTGACGGCAAGAATTTATGACAATAAAAGGGAAATGAGTAATTTTGAGAGAATATCTTTGATTTTTTTTTTAAAGAGAGAGGCTTCTCTTCGGTCCAAATCGGACTGGAGAGAGTTGTCAAGCCTCTGTGGGCTCACCACAGAGCCCGCATCAATAATCTGAACCGTTCATTGTGTAGAACTCGTCGAGTACTTTATCCTTATAAAAAATCAAGTTGATCAGATATTGATAGTCACTTAATCAGATTACATTTCTATCAACAGTAAATATAATTTTAAAAATAAATTATTGACAGAAATGTGATCGGATTAAGTAGCTATCGATATCCGATCAACATAATTTTTTGCAGGGATGAAGTTCACATTAAACAGTTTGGATTATCGATACGGCCTCCGTAGTGGGCTCACAAAGGCCCAAGAGCACCTTCCAGTTAGAAAGTCCAACTAGAGAGAACCCAATCTCTTTTTTAAATTCATATGTGCTGATTTTTTTACAAAAATCCCACTGACCTTTTCTTTCTATGTTACTATTTTCTTCCCTAAATTTTTTTTGTTCATGAAAACTTATAAAGAGAAAGAGTGATATTACGAACTCACCTTTACCAACTCAAACATTATTTAAATTTTTTATCTTGTGATTCAAGTTAATTCTACACATGAATTCCACATGGATCTCAGTGTACAAATTAATATCTACTACAT